AGCCTCTTTGAGTTGCGGTCTAGGTGAGTGGTCTCTATTGTATTTTATCTAGAAACTATCTAACTTTGAGTTGCGGTCTAGCTACTTGCTTCGCGCTAGTAAGGCCATACCCGCTTGACATCTGTCCGGGACTCTCTGCTGTGGTCAGGTATCCGCCATTCTCTCGCACGTCCGTATACGTGTGTTCGTGTCTCTTCTCCGCGGGCTCAGACTAGCCCTCCTTCTGCTCGCGTTAGTCTTATGCGCGGTTGTGTTTGTTTTGGGGCATTGCGCCGCAACAATGGACCGGATCTCAAATACTGTATAGATTCAACCTTAAGTTCAGGCCGTTTGAGCGTTACACGTTACGCGGTCCCAAGTTCATTCGGAAAGAGGTTCACTGACTGCTGTGACATGTTACTGTAGTTTGGCCTGGGCTAACCAACCTGTGGAAAAGCCTTGCTACAGCTATGTTTTGGAGCTTTGTAATGACTAGAGTTCTTCATGAGCAAGTTGGCAGGATTATCCTTGCCGCTGATGTACGTGACATCTACAATACCTCACAAAATGACCTCATAGATATAATGATACTGGATGTCAATGTGCTTTGAGTGTTTCTCAGTGATGGAGTTAGACGTGATGAATACAGCACCTTGGTTGTCACTTGAGATCTCGATTGCTCCAAGATCGTAGCCAATTTCTCCGAAGAGCTGGTGAATCCACGCTACTTGATGTGAGCAATCGCTCAACACCATGTACTCAGCCTCCGTGGAGGAGTGCGCAACTGTTTTCTGCACACGTGAAACTCAGGAGAACGAAGCACGAGCGAGCAACAGGAAGTATCCAGTCTGCGATTGCCTGTGGCTTGGGTCAGAAGCCCAATCTGAGTCGGTCATTGCAAAGATGCCTTTGCCCGAGATGCCGTCGAATACAAGACAGTAATCCTTAGTGCCAACTAAGTAGTGGCAAACATGGAGAGCTTTATCAAGGTGCTCATCACATGGGTTCACAGCTTGTTGAGACAGCTTCATGACGGCGAATGCAATGTCAGGGTGTGTACCCAGCATGAGGTACATCAGCGACCCAATGACGGTCTGGAACTGGTGCCGTAGAACTTCATCTACTGGATCCTCGTTTGGCAATGGGTAATATCCAGAGGGAAGAGGAGTGGCGACGTGTCGAGCATTAGTGAGCCCAATGCAGTCAAGCACCTTCTCGAGGTAAGCAACTTGGTCTATCATGACCACATATGCCTGCCGAGTGATGTGCATGCATAGGAATTCCTTCGCATCGCCAAGATCTCTACATCCCCATTTTTTGGCAAATGCATTTGTGAGCCGTTCTGCGAGTTTGCGGTCAATGCTGCAGAATAAGGCATCATTGATGTAGACTATGGCGATACAAGTCGAGCCTGTCTTTGTGTCGGTATAGATGTAGATTCCTTCATCGGAGCGCAGGCGTTTAAAGCCCAGCTTCTCCATGGATTCAGTCATGGTTTTCCACCATTCGAGTCCAGCCTGTTTTAGGCCATAGAGAGCACGCCTCAGTCAAACGACGAGATGCTCCTTGCCAGGGATTTTAAACCCTTGCAGCTGCTCCATGTAGATCTCCTTGTCGAGTTCAGCATACAAGTAAGTGTTGCGAACATCAAGACCTAGGATATGCATGTTTTCAAGCGCGCAAAGCCCGAGGATGTGTCTTAGAGACTCAAATTGCACAACGGGTGAAAAGACTTGGTCAAAGTCAATGCCTTCGACCTGAGAGAAGCCCTTAGTAACAAGTCACACCTTTATACATTTGTCAGGATTTTGGTCAAACACTCACTGGTTAAGGATAACACGGTGGTTTGTTGGTCTGTGGATGTACGGAAAAGTACCGTGCTCGCGATGAGCTGTCATCTCATCACGCATAGGGGCTTTGATCTTCTCCTGAGCTACTTTAGGCAGCTTTTGTATATCCTGCCATGTCAATTCATGTTAGTTCTTGATGTCCGTTAGCTGAGCCTCATCTAGAATTGCCTTAGCAACGACATAATTCATCAGCTTAACTCCCCCTTTCCACATAGCTGTGCCAGATAAACCTCATCAGTCTTTAGATTCTCAACAGAGTCACGAGAAGGAGGTGGTGCAGAACGAGATTTGGAAATTTGTCCTGTGCACTTAGGCATTCTGGGAGCTTTGCCATGGTTCGGCCGTCACGTGACTCGGCAATATCCTTATCCTTTTTCTTTTCTTTTCTAATTCAGCATCTCGGCATCTCGGTATTCCGGCACACGGACTCCGGACTCACATGACTCACACCGTTCATGTACGACTCGGCCCGCTTACACACACTTCCCTTGTCAGTGGGGCCCAGCTCGCTCAGTCATCCACATGCTTGTCTGTCTTCGTCATCCCGTTCCCGCACTGCCTTGACCTGTATATAAGACTCTTCCCCCATATACCTAAGCTCCTTTAGTTCGTCCATCTTGCAATCTACCCTCTGTGGTGTTCTCCTCTATCCCCTCTGTCTTTGCCATCGTGTACCCTCGTGTTGTCACTGGGTTTAAGCACTTAGCATCTGTCTGTTTGTCTGTCTGAGTGCCAATAGCGCGGCTTGGAGATCTCCCCTAAGTGCGGCCCTAGCAAGCTTGGGCGCCTGGCTCGGGCATCAGCTCATTGTCTCCAGAAGCTTTCCTCTATTCCATGTCGGTATCACATTGGGTATGGGTGGGCAGGGTGTCCCCATATATACTCCCAGGCCGTTTTGTCACGAACACTATTATTTTCGCCATTTATCACGCATATATGCACACTCGTT